ATGTGTATTAGCTTTTATCTTCCACAGCTCTAGGGAGAGAGGGAGTATTTTCTCCACCTCATTTTCCTGAGGCATCTTTCACCAGCAGGCAGGAGGGTGTGTGGGTTTCAAGACCACATGTTAACACTGTTAGCACCAAGAGGAAAGAAAGCAGGCTTGAGAGGCCCAAAACAATGTGGAAAGAAGATACTAACAGGCAGAATATGGCACATGTCACGTTTCTGCATGGTTTACGTGCATTTGCAAGTCTAAATGGATTTTTACAAAATTGTCAATTCTGGTCATCTCTGGGAATGGGGCTGCCAGGAGAGCCTTTACCCCTTCATTTTATATTCTTTTCTATTGCTTTAATATTTCCTCCAACCAACATGAATTTCTTTCATAATCAGAAAAAAATAAAAATATTTCCTTTTGAAACAGTAACATTAAGGCTATCTAAGACCAAATGAAGAAGGGCTTCCCCGGTGGCGCAGCGGTTGAGAGTCCGCCTGCCGATGCAGGGGACGCGGGTTCGTGCCCCGGTCCGGGAAGATCCCACATAATGCGGAGCGGCTGGGCCCGTGAGCCATGGCCGCGCGTCCGGAGCCTGTGCTCCACAACGGGAGAGGCCACAGCAGTGAGAGGCCCGCGTACCGCAAAACAAAACAAAAGAAAAAAGACCAAATGAAGAAGAGCAAGCTTCAGCCCATGGAAATGCTCTGAGATGCGCAGCTTCCACCACCACGGGGCCCGGCTCCCTACAGTGGAGTCGGCCAGTGCTGGACAGCTGGCCTGAGAGAGCCATGCAAGACGGATGGTCCCTCTGCTCCTCAGGCAGGCTGGCCCAGGGTGGGGGAGCCTCGGTGACTTGGCACCGTTTCTGCATGTGGATGGTTGGCCGGCATTCACTCACTCAGTCATTCACTCAACACTTCTGGACACCTACTTAGTGCCAGATCTGGAAGTAGATTGTAGATGTAAAAAGCTACAGTCACAGTCCTTAGGGAACAGGCAATTACAATACTGTGTGTCGTACAATCAAGGAGGGTCCGAGGGATTCTGGGAGCTCCGAGGAGGAAGGTAAGAGGCCTCTCCTGGCCTCGTCCCATCTGTCCAAGCTGAGTGGCCAAGGGTGAGCTGTTGTTGCTAGACCAAGAGAAGGGGAGGGCGTTCCAGGCAGAGGGCTCAGCAAGGGCAAAGGCAGGGAGGCCTGAAGCGACGTGATGCATGGGGGACCCTGAGGAGTCAGGGAGTGAAGGGGGCGCGGAGAAGAGGACAGAAGGCTGAGGATGGACGGATGAGGAAGGCTTTAGGTACCAAGCCTCAAAATCTGAACTTTACCCTGAAGGCCACCGAAAGAGTTAAGTGTACTCAGACTGCCATCTTGGAGACATTGGCAGAGGGAAAGATAGACCGGGAAGAAGGGTCTAGAGGCAGAGGCCCCAGTTAGGAAACTGTTGGACTAATCCAGGAGAGAAGAAATAAAGCTGCAGTCTAAGGCGTGGCTGGGACACAGACAGGCCACATTCAAGAAACGTTAGGGAAATAAAATGGGAACTTCGGTGATTAGATGTGTAGGGCTCAAGAAAAAGATGTCAAAGACGATGATCACCAAGCTTCTTTCTAGGGTGACAGATGAGGAGAGGCAGGGGCGCAGGAAGAGAAAGGGTTTTCTCGTTGAGAGGTTGATGATGCGTCAAGTTCCAAGCACGTGGACTTCCAGGCATCACAAGCGTGGGAGGTAATCTCAGGGGAGAGGCTCACCTGAAGCTGGAACTCAGGAGAGCAACGTGCCCCTAGCCTGCCCCCCACCCCAAGGGCAGCCTGGCCGTCCTGGGGGTCCCCTGCAGCCCGTGGCCAGGGCTGCAGGAAGGGTGGGTCTTTGCCATCCTCGGTGCTCACTCTTACCCCCTCCCTTCCCCCAGATTTCTGACTTACAGCCGGGGAAGACCTACGTGTTCCATGTACAGGCTGTGAATTCAGCGGGCCCAGGGCAGCCGTCCATGCCCACGGACCCCATACTCCTGGAGGACAAGCCAGGTAGGGGCAGGGGGAGGGCGCTTGTCTGCAGCCGGAGGACAGAACCTGCTGGGCCCTCACCCCGCCACACCTTCCTGCCCCTCATTCCATCCTGCCTGTTTTTCTCCTGTCCACACTCTCGTTTATTTCTGTGGGATCCCAAGATTTGAACATACGGTTTCCTTCCGTGTGATGGGTCTGCCATCCTTTATATGTCACATTCTTAAACTCATACAACTCTTCGTGGATATTTAAAAGAACAGCCAACTTTATTTCAGATATGCCGTGTGGCTTTGCCTGCCTTGCAGTCACGGCTCCCGAGGTCCGCTCCTACCACATACGCCAGATGCTGCGCTGGGTCCTTACACTGTCTGGCCCTCCCAATAAGCCCCTGAGGGAGCCGTCACTGTCCCCACTTTAGAACTGATTTCATTGCAGCTCAGAGAAGTTAAATGACCAGGTCACGCAGCTAGTATCCAATGGAATCACTCAGCTCTCCTCACTGTAAAGTGTGTCCTTTTCCATTCTTTTAATTATTCACTCATTCAGCAAGTATCTGGTGACACCCACACTGCACTGGGGACATGGCAGTGATGAGAAAGCAAGGTTCCTGCGCTGGTGGGGGGAGGGGCAGGACGAATGGACAGTAAACAAGTAAATGATGAAAAAGTCAGTGATAAGTGCTATAAAGGAAGTGAAACAGGGTGATAGGGTGGGGTGGGCTTTACTTTAGCCTCAGTAGTCTGAGGAGGTGACATTTGAGGTGAGAGGGAGCCTGATCATACAAGGCCTTGGAGGCCACAGCAAGGAGTCTGGGGTTTCTTATTTTATTCAAGAGAAATGGGCAGCCACTGGAGGGGTTAAGCAGGGGAGGGAGCTGACCCGGTTTATTGTTTCTAAATGTCTGTTGCCCTCCGTTGGATCCTGCCCTCAGATGCTCGGGAGATCGAGGTTGGTGTGGATGATGAGGGCTTTATCTACATGGCTTTCGAAGCCCCCGAGGCGCCCGACTCCTCGGAGTTTCAGTGGTCCAAGGACTACAAGGGCCCGCCGGACCCACAGAGGGTCAAGGTCGAGGAGGAAGTTAACAAGTAAGTGAGGGGAGGGGACAGCACGACTCGTCCACTGGTCCCAGACGTTGTCCGATGAGTGGGCAGAAGCTCGTGGGTGAGACCATCCGGCAGGACCCCCAGATAACGAGCTTGAGAGGACTGCTTGGTCTCTCAGGAAGGATGCTGACTACCACCTGGGGAGAAGTGAGGGAGAGTGCACTAGAGAGGCTGAAACGGTGCCATTCATTTGCAGATCCGTGTGCCTCCAGGAGACGCTCAGGACTTGGTTTCTAGCCTGAGTGCCAGCCACTTGCTCTTGCAAGTTCTCTGGGTTCAGCTTCCTCATCAGTAAAAGAGGGGTTAGGATGTCAAGTGCCCCCAGGTCTCCCTCCTCCACCCCCAGCAGCTCTGGCCTTGGCCCTGTCCAGCAGGAGACAAAGCTGATGACTTGAGCCCTGTGGAGAGAGGCAGGCCTGGGGGATGTGGCCAGGATGAAGACTGTTCCAGAGAGCCTGGCTAGTGAGGACCATTGAAGGTGGCAGGCCAGACGTGCCCTGGGCAGGGGACCCCAAAGAGGTGTAAGGAGGCTGCCACCCCTGCCCCCTGGCTTGGCCGGGGTCTGAGCTGGGGTGCAGGGCTTGCAAAGCCGACCGAGACTCCCCAGCTCCCAGGCCTCCAGGGCACACGGCCCCTCTCAGAGCCTCTGCCCTCCTGTCTCTGCAGGTCCAAGATCATCCTGAAAGAACCTGGCCTCAAGGATTTGGGCACCTACTCGGTGGTGGTCGCCGATGCTGACGAAGAAATCTCAGCAAGCCACACACTGACGGAGGAAGGTGATGCCCCTGTTCCACTGCCACCTCCCCAGAGAGACGACCCAGACACGGAGTCCCAAGCACAAATACCCCAGAGTCCAGCAAGAAGCAATAAAAATGAGTAAAGCAGAAATTTCCAGGGAAGTAGGCCCTCACCCACTCATTCAGTCAGTCAGCCAGTGAATAAGTATCTGCTGAGCACTGACCATATGCCAGAGACTGTCCTAGGCACTGAATTACATCAGTGAACTCAACAGGCAGAAATCCCTGCCTGATGGAGTTCATACTCTTCTTGTCTCTCTCTTTACTTTATCTACTCTTGATAAAAAGCAAAGGTACCAGTGAATTATTTCACTTCCTTCCGTAGCCTAAGAAAGACAACAGCATAAGTAGAATGATAAACTGCAAATGGCAGTCGGTCTGAGGAATGAGGATGGCAAAAGGGAGCAGTGGGGACTGTGGTAAACCAGAGAGGGGATGCCGGGCCTCAGCGGTCATCTATGAGACTCACCTTCTGCTGACTCCATAGCAACTGGGACAGCCCATTGTCCTCCCTGATGATTGCACTGGAAGCCCTTTGATTTTGTCAGGAAGCAGAAGCCAGGCAGGTGCAGAGTGCAATTCCAGTTCCACAATTTCCTGGCTGCTTGACCTTGGATAAGTCATGACACCTCTCTGGGCCTCAGTTTCCTCATCTGTAAAGGAGGATTATAATCCCTGCTGTCCTAAGTGAAACAATGTTGTTATGCAGATATACTTAGATGATTCCATGCAAACTAAAGCCATCCACAAAAGTAATGGGGTTTGCTTTTTGTTTTTGGACTGGATGCTTGCCATGTGTCCAGACTCATCATGCTAAGGACTCTGGAGCTTATAAGGGGAAATGAGATATGAGCCGTGCCCCTGCCAATTCATTCATGCAACACGTATTTATTGAGCACATACTGTGTGCCAGATACCATGCAGGTCCAGAGCTCAGCTTAGCAGAAGAGACAAACCTAACACAAAGAAGCAGTTAGCAGTGAGACAGCACTCTGCCGACCTGCCCTAGACACATGCAGACTGAAATGCTCAGTGGGGAGAGCAGACCCTCAGATACTAGGACAGTATGACTCAGTGGGGAGAACAGACCCTCAGATGCTGGGACAGTATGGCTCAGTGGGTTAACAAGGGGCCTCAAGAGACAGACAGTAATGCTCACCCCACAGCATGGTGTGAGGACTGCTGAGATCATGCAGAGCCTGGCACACAGTAGGTGCTTCTCTGGGGAGGTGGCACTTCATCAGGTCTTGAAGGACAGGAGAATAAGCAACCTCAGGGTGGCCTGCGGCAGCCCCTGCAGCCCCCTCAGTGCTCCAGAGCCAAGGCCCACAGTGGTCATCATCAGCCCCTCAGTAGCCAAGTGACCCCAGGCCGAGTCTCTTGGGACTTTCACCCAGTGTGGACGCTAGGACGGCTTCCACGGATCCCACTGGCCCGGGTATGTCATTCTCTTTGGTTTCTTCCTTGCTTCTCCCTGTCCCAGAGCTGAACAAGCTGAAGGAGTGGAGCCATGAGATTAGAAACCCAGGTAAGCGGGTCCAAGCCACCAGCCTTGAGCAGTCCCGCCAGGCCCACTGGGGTGTTCTGAGCAGGGCTGAGTCAGCCAAGAGCCAGAAACTAGCCGGGTGGCGGCGGGCGGGGGCGGGGGGTGCGGGCAAAGGATGGGGACATCTTGGGGCTGGAAGCTCAGAGACCCAGGTCCGTGAAGGGAACAGAGCGGCCAGCAGAGAGCACATGGGATGCAAGGGAGGGCAGAGTGGCTGGTTTTTACTTCTTGGATTGTGGATCATCTAAACCCCTGCTTCCCTCCATTGGCCAGGAGTAGCTTTTGCAGTCCCTGGCGCAGGGGTCACAAATTTGGGTGCATATTGGAATCACCCCCAGAGCTTTTCAAAATCCCAATGCCCAGGCCACACCCCAAACAAATCAGAACCTCTGGGTCTGGAGCCAGACACTGGTGTTTTTGAAAGTTCTTGGGGATCCAGTGTCCAGCCAGGGTGAGAAGCACGACCTCAGAGCTGTGGGAAGAGGATGAATTCCCTGAGATGAATTCAATCTGGGGGACTGAATGCGGGAAACCCTCCCCAGCCCCTCACCCCAGTCATGTCTGCGTCAGACTCTGAAGCATTTTGCACATTAAATGCCCACAGTGTGCTCAAGGTGGGGCTGTCGGGAGTGGGGAGGGGAGAAGGGTTCCCTGCCCACCCTTTCCTGTCCTCTGCCTCCCAGTGATCAAGCTGATCTCCGGCTGGAACGTTGACATCCTCGAGCAAGGAGAGGTGCGGCTTTGGCTGGAAGTAGAAAAGTTGTCTCCAGCCGCTGAGCTGCATCTAATCTTCAACGAGCAGGAAATCTTCAGCTCACCGGTAATTGGGGGCTCAGAATCCCTAAGTGAGGCTCCTGGCCCAGGAGGTGGTCTCACAGGCAGTGGTCTCCACTGGCTGCACCTTCCCCTAGCAGACTTTTCAGAAACGGGCACCAGCTTTGGCTGTCACAGTGATAGGGTGGGGGATGAGGACACCTGGATTTTATTACCTGGGGGGTGGGTGGTAGGGATGCTAGACATTTGCCAACGCAAGGAACACTCCCACAAAGAACTTCCCATGCATCCCACAATTCTTCACTGTCCTGTCAAACATTTGTAAAGTGAAAAACCTACATTCAGGCTTATAATTATCCAAGCCTAGACCCTAACCTTGAGATATAAACACAAAGAATTTTTTTTGCAGTGTTAATATACACTGAACAGAGAGTTTTTATTCTATTAGCCACATTACCTATGCTCTTTCATTCATTTTCCTGTTCTTCTTGTACTCATGAGAATGTACATGAGTACAATCTCTCATGAGAGATTCTATCATGAGATCTTATTTGTGAATTTCATCTCCAGATGGCCATCAAAAATATGTGTTATAAAGAGGGGAGCTGGTTCTGACAGAGGAGGAAGAGCTCAGGGCTAGATGCCAGAAGACTCATCTCCTGTGGGTTGTGTGCCCTTGGGCAGGTCTCTTCACCTCTCTGTGCCTCAGTTTCTGCATCTGTACAGTGGGGTTGGTTGCCCCAGAGCCAGGAGGAGGAATTGGAAAAAAAATAGATTTGAAAGTTCTGCACAGAGATTAAGCGTGACCTTGGCTCATGGTAGAGGCAGGGTAACAAAGTCTGGACTCTTGGTACACAGCGCTGCTACTAGCAGGTGCCGCTATAAAAATCAAATTAGACGATTCTCTCAAAACATACATACACCCTAAATGTGGAAAATAAAACGTTTGAAAACTGTTAGAATGTGACAAAATGTAAATAAGTGCTAATTCTGGGTAGCAGGTTCACAGGCTTTTTTATATTATCCTTTATAGTTTTATGGGGGATTTTTTTTATATTAAATTGCAAAAGAAGTAGAAAATAACCAAAAAGCATGGCACAGTAGGAGGTTGGGGATTATTATTAATTGCAACTGATACAAGCACGCAAGACTCTTTCCAGTGTCTGCCAGGCCCCAGGGTGTTCTCAGGGGCGGGGTGTGGGAAAAGCCCAGTCTATACACAGGACAGGGGTACCTTGGGGCCCCTCCCCAGTCTCTGAAGGCTTCTAACTCTGTATTTATTACCCCCAAGTCCAACCACGCCCCGATTTGCACCCCACAGCACAAATTCCCTGGGATTGGAAAAGGGCAGAAAGACTTTCGGGTTTTGTTCTCCCCAGAACCGCAAAATCAATTTTGTCCGAGAGAAGGGCTTGGTGGAAGTTATCATCCAAAACTTGACTGAGGACGACAAAGGGTCGTATACTGCTCAGCTCCAAGACGGAAAAGCCAAGAACCAGATCACCCTGGCTCTGGTGGATGACGGTCAGCTGTGCCCTGACCCCCGCCCTGCCCCATGCACCCGGCCTCAGCTCTTAGCCTGGGCGTCTCTATCCATCCTGACGCCCTCCTCTGGACCTGTGCTCCTTCTGGTTCACACCCGTTCCCCCCTCTGTGTTCACAGAATTCGACAAACTTCTAAGGGAGGCAGATGCTAAGAGAAGAGACTGGAAGAGAAAGCAGGGTAAGAACTGCTGGGGAGAAATTCAAACACCTCGGCCAGCAGGCCAGCAGACAGCGCCGGGGAACCGCTGGGCAAGTGGATTAATAGATCCCTCCGCCCTGCTGGACCCCCCCGAGAGAGGGCCACTGCCATTTGATCTAGTGCTGTCCCTGTGCCAGAACGAAACAGCACTTGCCCAACCCCGAGAGCGCGCGCCCTAAACTTTGCACCCTCGATGCCTCCCAGATGCCTCACCCCAGTCCCCTCCCTTGCGGGGGTGGAATCCCAGAATCCGAGGGGCCAGTAGTCATTAGGTGCCCCTCCCCAGCTGCCTTCCCCTATCTCGCCACCAGGTGGCGCCCGGGCCGAGCCCGGCGCTCTGACCGCTGGGCGTGCTGTTTTGCCCTCCTAGGTCCGTATTTCGAGGAGCCTTTGCAGTGGAAGGTCACCGAGGACTGCCAAGTGCTGCTGATGTGCAAGGCAAAGCCCCGCCCCCGCCTCCAGCCCTGCCCCCAGGCCCCGTGGGGCAAGATCTGTGGCTGTCCCCAAGCCCCGTGGCTGTCTTTTGCCCCACTCCCTGCAACTGCACACCCTGTGCTGGTGTGATCCCAAGCAGAGGAAGTGGCCCCAGGGATTTTGCATTTAACTGGAAAACAAAAGCCCAGGGAGCAGAGTTAGTGTGAATTAGTGCGCTGAGTCAGCCTTGAGTTAGATCTCCCAGCTGCTCTGGGAGGGGCTCTGGGGGTCAGGGGTCTGGGAGCAAGTGAGGGCTCTATATGTTGAGCGGTAGCCCCTGTGTCCGTTAGTAGCCCTGCCAGACACTGTTCTCAGCACTTCAGGGCATTATTTTATTTCATCTGCCTCACGATCATCTGTGAGAGAGGTGTTAACAATCCCCACTTTAGGATGAAAAACCAAGTGGGGAAATAGCTGAAGACTACATGGTAACAGGCCGAGTCTAGAGCCCAGGTTTTAACGGGATGTGCCTGACTCCAAAGCGGGTGTTGTTTCTCAGGACGCTGCAGCCTTTTAGATAACTGGGGGAGGGCAGGGGAGGGGAGGGCACACTCCCAGAAGCCTATCCATTCAGCAAACCTAAGTACCTACTCTGTGTAGCACACTGTGCAAGCACTGGGCATACAAGGGGGAAGAAGTGGTCTCCTTAGGCCTGTAAGATCCCACAGTCCAAAGCAAGATCGTGGGGAAAACAGCATAACTCCTGCTGTGATGGAGACATGCAGGAAATTGATTACTCACGATGGGGCACACTCTGGGGTGCATAAAGGAAGGCTTCCTGGAGGAGGTGACACAGGCATTTACAAGAAAAAGTAGGGTAGGAAAGGGATCAAGAAGCAGAGGGAATAGCATTAGCACAAGTCCCGAGTCCAGAAGCCATCAGAGGAGACATATGGTGTGAGGAAGGGGTTGGCTGAGATTTAGCCTGGGGGTGGGGGGGAGTCATGTTTGGTTAAAAAAAAAGGTTCTGATGAACTGAGTCTTCACTTAAAAGAGAAAGCCTGAAGGAGTCTCCTCACTCCCCACCTTCCTCAGGTGACCAACACCAAGAAAGAAACCCGCTTCCAGTGGTTCTTCCAGAAGAAAGAATTCCCAGATGGTCAGTATGACCCGCAGACTGGAGCAGGGCTTCTCTGCATGGAAGAAGTAAGTGCAGCTCTGACTTCAGGGCTCACAGCCTCCAGGCAGTGCCAGGAGCACTGGGCAGGGAGTCAGGACCAGGGTGAGGCACTGACCTCACGCACAAACTTTCAGGAAGCACTGAAAGGCTCAGTACTCAAGATAAATAATATTTCATGCAATATTTTTAAGGATCAAAATTCATGCCCCAAAAAAAAGACCATGAGGGAAAACAATACCAAAACTTTAAATAAAGACAGGCTCAGGGCTTCCCTGGTGTCACAGCGGTTGAGAGTCCGCCTGCCGATGCAGGGGACGCAGGTTCGTGCCCCGGTCCGGGAAGATCCCACATGCCGCGGAGCGGCTGGGCCCGTGAGCCATGGCCGCTGAGCCTGCGCGTCCGGAGCCTGTGCTCCGCAACGGGAGAGGCCACAACAGTGAGAGGCCCGCGGACCCCAAAAAAAAAAAAAAAAAAAAGACAGGCTCAGTAGTAATACTGATTTTTCATATACTGATGACCCAGGTTCTTGCTTTGCTGAGTGTTGACCCGGGCCTCACTTGGGATTGACAAGCATGTGCCAGTAAGGACCCCCTTGTCCTGAGCAAAAGAAAGCACACTTCCTTCTGAGAGATGCAGAGAGGTCCCTCTATCCAGGGCCCCTGGGAAGCAGGGCAGCGTTGGTGGAGGGTGCGCCCTGCTCGGCCCAGCTCTGCTAGGAGGGCTCACTTTGCTCTGCTCAGAGCAGCTGCCTGAGAATCACATGCGGGGCGTCTGTTTCTGCCCTCAGTTCCCCCTCTCGCCCCACCTCCAGGCCCAGACAAGCCCTGGGCTTGGGATCAAAGGACTCTGGAGCTGGAAGGACCCTCAGAGATCACCCATCGCAAGGGGGGTAAACTGAGGCCCCGGGAGGCGAGTTAGGGGCAGGCCTAGAGCCCAGGCCTCCTGATTTGCTGTCCATCGCTCCTTCCGGGACTCACGCCGACACCGCCTTCTCACATCCTTCTTTCCAGCTTTCCAAAGAGGACGAGGGCGTTTATAGAGCAGAGGTTTCCGATGAGCGAGGGGAGGACGACACCATCCTGGAGCTCACAGGTGAAGGTAGGAGCCGGCGACATCAGAGATGGGCCAGGAGGGCCTCACACTGAACCAAGAGATGCAGTGTGACCTGTGGGGAAACTGTCTGGGATCCTCACTTGGGGCAACTGAGGCCCAGGGGAGTTAAGTGACCTGCCCATGCAGCACAGCTGGTCAGTGGCAGGGCCTGGTCTGTGTGACGCTGGTGCCCATGTTCACTGCACTATCCCACAGCGAGCCCAGGCTTCAAGACCCAGAGCCTGAGTTCTCTGCTCTGCCCCCCGCCCCCCACCCCGCCGCCCCCCACCGCCCCCCCACCCAGCGGGCCC